TTTCTTTTTGCTTATGTGGTGCTGAGGAATCGAACCCAGGGCCTCAGGCATGCAAGGCAAGCACTCTACCACTGAGCTACTTCCCAGCCCCAAATACATTTCTTTTTGAATAATTTTTCTTCCCTTGTTTTCTCCCCTATGGCTTACTTTTTTCTTTTTTTTCCCATTGGTCATGGGGCTTGAACTTTGGGCCTGGAGCTGTCCCTCAGCTCTTCAGCTTAAGACTAGCGCTCTACCACTTGAACTACAATGCCACTTCTGGTTTTCTGGTGATTAATTGGAGGTAATAGTCTCATGGATTTTCCTTGCCAGGAATCATGATCCTCAAATCTCAGCCTCCTAAGTAGCTAGGATTATAGGCATGAACCACCAGAGCCTGGCACTATTCTTTCTTTCTTTTTCCTTTATCAGTCCTGTGGCTTGAACTCTGGGCCTGCATGCTGTCCCTGAGCTCTTCAGCTCAAGACTAGTGTTCTACCACTTGAGCCATAGTGATGCTTCCAGTTTTCTGGTGGTTAATTGGAGATGAGTCTCTGGTGGTTAACTGGAGATAAGAGTCTCATAGACTTTCCTGCACAGGCTGGCTTTGAACCGTGATCCTCAGATCCTAGCCTCCTAAGTAGCTAGGATTACAGGAGTGAGCCACCAGTACCCAGCGGACTTTTTTCTTTTTAATAGATTCTATATTAAATATGCCAGAATTAGTAGAGCTACTGCCCCCCACCTTTTTTCCTTTGGCTGTACTGGGCTTTGAACTCAGGGCCATATACTGGCTAGACTAGATATATGACTAGAGTCACACATCCAGCCCTTAATTGCTTTTCTTTTCTTTTGGGAGGGAGGTCCGGTCTCGGGGCCTGAACTCTGGGCCTGGACGCTGTCCCTCAGCTCTTCAGCTCAAGGCTAGCACTCTACCACTTGAGCCACAGCACCAATTCTGGCTTTTTTCTTTTTGCTTACGTGGTACTGAGGAATCGAACCCAGGGCCTCATGCATGCAAAGCAAACGCTCTACCACTGAGCCACCTTCCCAGCCCCCTCTTTTCTTTTGTGTGTGTGTGTTTTCTTGTTGGTTGTGGGGCTTGAACTTAGGGCCTGGGCGCTGTCCCTGAACTCTTTTGCTCAAGGCTAGCTCTCTACCACTTTGAGCCGCAGCTCCACTTCTGATTTTCTGGTGGTTAATTGGAGATGAGTCTCTCTGATTTTCCTGCTTGGGCTGGCTTCCAACCTCAATCCTCAGATCTCAGCCTCCTAGGTAGGTACGATTATAAGCATGAGACACTAGTGTCCGGTTGCATTTTTTTTTTTTAAGAATTACATGGTATTCTTTAAAACTTTATCTAATCATTAAATAATCCTCATAAATTTAAGAATAATTCTAGTTATTAAATATGGAATAACTACATTAGAAAGTCATCTTTTAAGCTGGGTGCTGGTGGCTCATGCCTGTAATCCTAGCTACTAAGGAAGCGGAGATCTGAGGATCACGGTTCCAAGCCAGCCCAAGCAGGAAAATTCGTGAGACTCTTATCTTCAATAAACCACCAGAAAACTGGGAGTGGCGCTGTGGCTAACATAGTAGAGTGCTTACCTTGAGCGGAAGAGCTGAGGGACAGTGCCCAGGCCCAAGCCCCATGACCATCACCACCACCACCAACAACAAAGAAAGTCATCTTTTCACAAGATTAATGAATTCATTCAAAAGTCATTAGGCAATGTTTAAGTGAAAGCTTAATGGGAAACTACAATGGAGGTTGCTTTAGGTTGTTTCCACCTGAGCAGACAAGACCCATCACCAAGAAATCCACAGTTGAATCCTCCCAAACTGGCTAATGTTTAACTGCAAAAGGGATTTTAAAGGTTTGATTAAGGGTCTTAGGGGGGAATAAGGTAAGAGTGCATATAAAAGGGAAAAAGGGAGGCAAAAGTCAGTATTTCCTTAACAAAAAGGGAGGGATGGAGGGACAGAAAAAGGGAAAACAGATTTGACAGTATGCCACTGATTTCGAAGATGGAGGAAATCATTAGCCAAGAATCAAGAATTTAGATAATTACAGAAGCTAGACAAAGCAAGGAACACAGCCCATGTGATATCTTGATTTTAGGACTTATGACCTCTAGAACTCTAAAAGTCTATAAGCCACTGTTTGTGGTAATTCATTACTTTTAACAATACAACCCTAATATACAGTTAAACTCACTGATCAATTTTAGTAGCACTAAGAGTCACAAAAAGTACTATGTGTTCCTATCCTGATGTCATGTGAAGTACTCTAACCAACTTGAAGTACTCTAAAACAAAATAAATCTAAAATGTAGGGTGTCCTTCAAAGGCAATCGATTACAACAAACAATTGCAAGCATTAAAAAGGAAGCCATAAGAATGGATTGCTCTTGGGGCTGGGAAGGTGACCCTGGGTTTGATTCCTCAGCACCACATAAGCAGAAAAAGCCAGAAGTGGCGCCGTGGCTCAAGTGGTAGAGCACTAACCTTGAGCTGAAGAGCTGAGGGACAGTCCCAAGCCCAGAGTTCAGGCCACACAACTGACCAAAAAAAAAAAAAAAAGAATGGACTGCTCTAGAGTAAAGAGACCTTAGAGATACTTACCACTACATATTAAGAGCTGATGAATATATAAAGATAAATAAGGAATACAAGATACAAGTCAGGCCCAGTGGTTCACATCTGTAGTCCCAGTTACTGAGAAACTGCTGGAAGCCAACCTGATGACCCTGCCCAGACCCTGTCTCTTAAAAACAAAGAACAAGGGGTTGGGAATGTGACTCAGTGATAGAGTACTTGCCTAGTATGCATGAAGTCCGGGTATCCATTCCACATAAACAGCAAAAGCCAGAAGTGGCGATAAGGCTCAAGTGGCAGAGGGCTAGCCTTGAGCAAAAGTAGCTCAGGGACATTGCCCAGGCCCTGAGTTCAAGCCCCAGGACTGGCAAAAAAAAAAAAAAAAATCCAGACACTGGTGGCTCACGCCTATAATCCTAATCCTAGCTACTGAGGAGGCTATGATCTGAGGATAGAGATTCAAAGCCATTCTGGGAAGAAAAGTCTGTGAAACTCATATCCCAATTAACCATCAAAAAGCCAGAAGTGGAACTGTGGCTCAGCTGCTAGAGCACTAGCCTTGAACAAAAGAGTACAAAGACAGGACCCAGGCACTGAATTCAAGCCCCATGACTGACCAAAAAAAAAAAAGGGGGGGGTCTATGTGCTTGCATGACAGGTCTCCTTAAGAGTTTGAGTACTACTGGGCATGATGGCACCTGGCTGCTATCCCAGCACTTGGAAAGCTAAAACTTTCCAATGGTGAAGTCCATGCCAATCTGGGATATATAACCAATTTCAGACCAGCTTGTAACACACAGTAGGACCCTGTTTTGTTTTGTTTATAAAAAAAAAAAGAAATGGACATTCCAAATTAATTCTCTACCACTCCCATTCATCATCACTGCTTATCTGGTCCATTAGTTCTTGTTCTTGACTTTGAATTTGGGTCTAGGATCCCAGTAGTCCATTAAACTGGTTTAGAAGAAAACAGACATGGAAGAGTAACTGGGAGAGAGTGAAATGCCAGCATGTAAAATGCTTGATAAGGTCTTTCCAATAGCCTTAGACTCAGTTGGAAACTACATCAAGAAATGAGAAAACAAACACTTGATCAGTGGTACTAACCTGGGCATAGTGAAAGAAGGCATCAACTAATTAATAGGGCTTAGAATGTGGCATAATGGTAGAGTGCTTGCCTAGCATGCATGAAGCCCTGGGTTCGATTCCTTAAACAGAAAAAGCCAGAAGTGGTGCTGTGGCTCAAGTGATAGAGTGCCAGCCTTGAGCAAAAGAAAGGTTAGGGACAGTGCCCAGGCCCTGAATTCAAGCCTCAGGACTGGCAAAAAAAAAAAAAAAAAATCACTATGGTCCTAGTTTTGCTCAGTGCTTACTTGTGCTTACCAGAAGCCAGGCAGTAAAACATGAATAGGAAAGTAATTCCTGCACTCAGGATACTAACAGTCTAGTGAAAAAGACAAAACAGCATTATGGGAATTAGCAGTCGCCATCTAATAGTTGGGCTTAGATTTAGTCAAGTTCACACTATGATTTAAGTCAGTGAAAGGACTGGAAACTAAGATCATTTTGTAAGCAATGGTGGACTTTAATCAATATCACCAATTACACATAAAAGAATAGTTACAGTATGGTTCCATCGACAATTCCATCTGTTAACATTTACCAGTTTACTCTATCTGAGCTTGTTTCCAACTTGTCAAATGGAGGAATTACCTATCTACCTCTTTTTTTTTTTTTTTTGTGCAAGTCTTGGGGCTTGAACTCGGATCCTGGCCACGGTCCCTGACCTCAGGGCTAGTGCTCTACCACTTGAGCCACAGCGCCACTTCTGGCTTTTTCTGTGTATGTGGTACGGAGGAATCGAACCCAGGGCTTTATGAATGCTAGGCAAGCACTCGACCATTAAGCCACATTCCCAGCCTTACCTGCCAATTTCCTAGGCTAGTGTATGAAGGAAGTGGTAATGTAGATAAAGCAACACAGGAAGTGGGGCACACAACAGATGCTTGGTTTGGTTTTTTAAAATAAATTTTACCAATTGCGGTACGTTATTTCCCTGTAGATACCCTAGGGTGTCAATCGTGTCAATTCCTACAAATCCTCCACATCCAGATTTCCCCAGGCTGTCAGACCGATCAGGTCTGGCAACCACTCTGTGCGCGGGCCAGCCCGAGCTCGCCGGCGGCCACTTCCGCCAACGCCGCGCAGCCTTCGTGCGA